TTGTCGCCTGCGCCCTTGAGAGGTCAAGGGTCAAGCGCCAAGGGCGGTAGCGGGCTCACGTTTGGACGATGTCGCTCTGCTTGGTGCAGCCCGCGGCGCGCAGGTAAGACGCCTTGGTGGTCACGTCCTCGGTGTTCACCGCGAGATCCACGAGCTCCGTCGCGTAGGCGGGGTACATAGTCTTGACTCCCATGCACAGGGTCGCGGTGAGCACGTTGGGGTCAAAGCTGGAAAAAGATGTTTGCATTGTTAAAAGAGAATCCCACGTGATGACGTGTGTGTATTAAAATAGTTACGCATTTTCTTTAAATGGACAACTTGTCCAGAGAAGCGGAGCGTGACGTGAAAACACAACAACGCACGAGCCCCACACGAAGAACACTTTACGGACAGAAAGGTAGTATTTGACATTGTTTCGATTAAAGTGCAGCCTTTATAAACATCTATGGGTTTCGATAGCACATAATTACAGAAAAGAACTGAAACCGCGATTTAAAAGCATTTTTATTGTAGGTTATGGTGCTTTGTTTCGTTTTCCACTAAGCTCCGCCACTCACGTCAGGGCAAGTTACCCATTATTTCGTGTCATTTTTGTCCCTAGCGTCCTTTGATGTGCGAGGTGCGAGGCTCGACACTTACGTGTTGTCGTCGTTGTCGTCGTTGTACTGGTAGGCGAAGGTCCGGAGAGCTTGTCTCCTGCACTCGGCCAGGCCGGCGCCGCAGGCCAGCTGCGTGATGATGTCGCGCACGACGGAGCGCTGGTAGCTGTCGGCCTCGGTGTCGTCGTCGCTCGTCCAGCCGATGGACTCAAAGGCCGGTCTCAGGATGGCGGAGAGGTAGGTCTGGGACGGGGACGGAGTCAAAGTGTCACGGGGTTGTTTCACCGAGAGAAATACCGTGGTTTGACGTAACCTAACCTAACGTACCTGGAGGTAAGTGGTGAGCTCCGGGTCGCCGCGCGCGAGGGCGTTGTAGCCGTTGATGACCTTGGCCGCGGTGATCCAGGGCGCCATGTCCCTCTCCCCGCTCCTGGAGGTGTCGCCCAGGGTGCTCTGCAGGTGCCACAGCACGATCCACGTGTCCACGAGGCCGGCGCGGTTCAGCGCGTACAGGTCGTCGATGAGGGTGGCGCGGGAGGCCGCGTCGAGGCGCGAGGCGCCCTTGGCGAGGTTCATCCAGTTGCGGATGTCGTAGTTGACACGGTAGAAGCCTGGTAAATGACAGTGTGCACGCGTTATTTTATTTGCTATGACTATCACATGGCACTCTGGGTTTCTCTGTTACCCCCTGCATAGGGTACAGTGGAAACTCCAGCCACTTGGAGTGTGTCTGAGTGTAACTTACCGGCCTGTTCCTTGTTGATGTACAGATAGTTGTTTGGTAGCAGGGACGACGGCAAGTCCATGGTCTTCTCATCGTCTGACTCCTGCAGCACGTTGGTGAACTCAGACTCGTCATCGTAAACACTGTTGAATGAGATGGGGATCACCCATTTGCTGTCGAGTGCTGCAGGATCAGACGGCTCGTGCGCAAGGAATCTTTTCTGAAGAAAGGAAAAAAACGGGCAAATGGTATCTGGGGCAGTTTTTTCTTTCTTTTTTTTTTTTGTTTGTTAAAACTTTAGACATGTAGCATCAGTCTACAAATATAACTTTACAAACCTGGGAAACCACAGCCTGCGGTTTCGCGCTCTCGTAGTCTCTGAGGACAGTGAGCACAGGGTATCCGGGCTTCAGTGCCCACGAGTCTATGACAGCCTTGATGGTGATTGAGTCCTTGAGGGGCCACGGTTTCTCGTCCGCGCTCTCCTGCAGGGCTGCCGCGAAGTCATCCGGAGTGGTCGACTTGTACTTGCTGAGAAACACGGTTGAGAATCTCACTTTATTACCATCATTCTGTCGGGACATCAAACGCCGTTCCGGGACCGGGACTCACTTTGTGCTGAGGTAGTTTTGCAGGCCATTCCTGTACACCGTGGTCCCGAGAATGTTGAGCAGCATGTAGTGGATGTTGCTGCCCTTCGAGTAGGTGATGACGCCGAAGTGGTCTTCAATCTGGTCCGGCGTTTGGATGTCGTCCTTTGTCAGTGGAGGGGAGTGCTCCAGGGAGTCCGCGTCCAGGGCCGACTGCACCCGGCTGGTGCCAAGGCGCGACATGGCCTGGTACGCGTCGCCTGTGGCCTGTAGACAAGACACGGGGATGAAAATCGAGCGTGGTACTTCCGGTACTTCACTTCAAATTCAAGCGTACACCGATTTTTATGCTTTTTCTTGATTGAGTTGTTTTCTGAATTTTTCTGAACTTATCTGATTTTTTCCTGTT